AGCAAAGACCTAGAATGTGTTGAAGCAAATACGCATTTTCCCCATAAAAATATCATACTCCCCCCATCTCCCAAGTTTCAAAGCGCCCATGATCCCAGAAAGACTAAAAGCTACTGTTGGGGACCCTGCTCCCCCCGCCAGAAACCCGGCCCCCAAGCTCTGTGTGCAGTGATGACCTGTTACAGGTCCAAAAGCTGAAGGAGTGCCTTTCTTTTCTCACTCTTCCAAATTCTTAAGAGATTAAGAGATAAAAGTGTAACTTGTTTTATTTCCTTTTAGAGGTTTAAAAGAAAAAAAGATTTGTAAGGATTATGTCACATTATATAGTACAAAATGTTGATGTTTTTACCCAAACTTAGCTAAGACACAATGACTATCATTTATGTAAGAGAAAAAGGGCAAGACTGCAAAAGCTTCAACACCGACAGCCTAAGTGTACTCTACCCGGTGCTCTCCATTCCCCAGGCATGTCAGGACTGCTGGCTGCACCAGCTGGAGCTGGTTAACTTTCCCCCATGATTTGCAGCCTTGTCCTGGAATTTCTCCAGGAATTCTCTGCATTCTAAATCCATCCTTATATTCCACACACCCAACTCCCCTTGTTCAAAGGCTTATTAACCACAAAACCTCCAAGGGGAGATGTTTAGCTGGGATTACACCTCAGATACAGGAGCATACAGGTGATGGTCATCAGTGGCTCTGACCTTGAGAATCATGTTCAGCGGTCCCTTATACATCTGGGAATGTGTATACAGTATTGGCACCTTAAACCAATATTAAATGAGAAAGTGGTTCTTTACAAGGTCCTCAACACCTGTGCTTCTCAAGTAGCTGTGCAACACCAAGAGAAACTGAGTTTTCCTGATTAAAGGCGGGTAAACAGCCACTGTATGCTGGGTTATTGTAGGGAATAATGTTAATGACCACACAGAGTAGGCACTCAAAGTGGTAGGTTTTGCTCTAGCAGTTGTGAGGGTATGAATTTCATGTCTCTCAAGTCTCTTGACAACTAACCTGCCTCCATGGAAGATAGAAGCAGCCATGCGGAGGGTATT